AAAAAGTTCTTCTCAATATGCATGACGTCAAGATTATGCCATAGAAGATTATGCTTCCAATAAGGTAACTCCCAAAATATGCTTTGTTTAGTCCAGTTATGGGTAACACCATAACCAGGTATCTTATTAGGCAATGGAGACTCTGTTACCTTAGGTAGATCCCTAACTCTATTCCAAATTTCTTCTGGCGACAAGACTGAAGGTGGCTCTTCATAATCAGTTTGATTCTTCATAAATGCACTAGTGTTTCTCCTAAATTCATGATCCATTGGCAAGAAACGACGGTGACAGTCAAACCATGTGTTCTTACCTCCATGTTTCAAAGTGAACGCTTTTGTGTCTTCCATGCAAGTCGGGCAAGCTAACTTTCCAGCAGTAGACCACCCGGATAGCATTCCATAAGCAGGAAAATCATTTATAGTCCACATTAAAGCTGCACGCAATCTGAAGTTCTGTTTAGTTGATATATCATAGGTTTCCTTACCTTGATGCCACAATAACTTTAACTCATCAATCAACGGCTGCATGTATACATCAATCAAACTTTTTGGATTGCGTGGACCTGGAATAATGCAAGTTAGGAACAAATATGGAATTGTCATACAAAACTTTGGAGGAAGATTATACGGCGTAACAAACACTGGCCAACATGAATATGGTGCGGCGGAGACTGCAAATGGAGTGAATCCATCAGCACATAATCCCAACCTAATATTTCTTGGTTCACTTGCAAAGTCCGAGAACATCCTATCAAAATGCTTCCATGCTTCTCCATCTGACGGGTGACATAGAACACCGGTTGGCCTTCTATGTTCATAGTGCCATCTCATATGAGGAGTGGAGCTCATTGATGCGTACAACCTCTTTAACCTTGGTATAAGGGGTAAGTAATGCATCGCCTTCACAGGAACCTTCTTCTTATTAGCATTTGTAACCTCCTTATAACGAGGTTGGTTACAAAACTTACAATTTTCTAATGTTGCATCATCCTTATAAAATAACATGCATCCTTTCTCACAACAGTCAATCCTCTCTGATGAAAGTCCTAACTTGGACACCAATTTCTTTGCAGTATAGAAATCTTTGGGTAAGTAAATATTATTCGGATTTAGTTCATTCATAAGCCCAATGATAGAATTCATGCCCGCTTGAGAAATAGAAATATCAGATTTGATAGTTAGTAGTCTAACTGCAACAGACAACTTGGAATGCATTGAGCCTTTATACAATGGACGACTAGCTTCCTCTAGTTGTTCATAAAAGCGTTTAGCCTTATCATTTGGTTCGGATTGAGCCCCCGGGAACATCTCAAAAGCATCTCTCATCATTTTATTGAATCGAGAATTTTCAAAATTATTCTCTACTCTGGGACTACCCTCACCACCAAAAGAATTATGAAAATCATGATTCTCTCCATGAACAGTCCACACATAATAATTTTCTATAAATCCATTCTTGTAAAGATGAAGTTCAACTACATCTGGTCTCAATAATTTGACACACTTGCATTTAATACAAGGCCACCTAATTGTCCCTTCAATAAGAAAATCATTTAGCGATTTCGCCTTAGCAATAAACCCCGCAACTCCTTCTATAAATTCCTCCCTCAATCCCGCACGATTAGGATGAGTCCTATTATACATCCATCTACGATGTTCAAATTCCATCTATATCAACAAAAAAAACTATTTAGATATTCTTCTAAAGGTTCCTACTTTGAATAATTGTAATACCTTCAACATTTTAACTATGAATGACTCTATAAATATAAATTTTCACAACAAAAATTAGATTGATTACATTCAAAAGCATATCTACTAGTTTATAGCAGAATAAAAATTCAAAAAGAGAAGTCTCACATGTCCAATTGACTAGTTAAATTTGCAACAACAATAATATCCGGAGAAAGTGCTCTTAGTACTATGCTAAATACTTTAATGATTACATAGTACTATTTTATTATTTCATTCAAAGTTAAAGTGAAATGAATAACATGTAAATATAAATTAATAGTTAACTCCTAGCATCAAAGTGAAACTAAAATTTCAAATTTACACAAATAAAACCCAACCATTTAGTTATTGGCAAACAAGGTAACATAAAGAATGAGGCAAGTCCTATGATTTATATAAAGATATATTTTTCATAAACATATATTTAAAAAAAAAAAGAAATATAAATATACCTGTCGCAGCAAGGACGAAACTAAAAAACAAAAGTCGAAATGGATGATGAGCCGGTAGTGCCAACCTTCCTTCAGTTATCAACCTTTGTACTCTTTAGTCTTCTACAAAATCAAGATGACTTGTATGAGTGAACGTAGAAAAAAAAAGTGACACCAAATAAATATATAGGTAAAATTCACAGTCTCTTGCAAAGATACAAAGTCTACGCTTTTTCTAGAGCTTTGTGCCTCGACCTTTTTTATTCCAAAATTCATTTCTATTGAACACTCTCAATATTGTTTCAACTTCTTACTCTATATTTATTTGATATTTTCTTGAAATGGCAGTGGTTTGAAGTGTTAGAAGTGTAATTTATGTTCTCATCTAAATAACTAAAGTTTATTTTGCAAGACACAGGACAGAATACACCTTCTCTCTTCTTTCTCTCTCTACACTTTGGCGTATTTCTTGTGAGCTTGGCAGCCATGGCTGCTGCGAGCTCTCCCCAGCCTTTGGCTGTGGGAGAGGCAACTCAAAACACTCAAGAAACAACTCCTAACATGAAGCCAAAGCAATCTTACGCTGCCAAGATCAATTCAAATAAATCTGCCGCAGTTTCGTCAAAAATTGAATTGCGTCCAGTTCACATGGTTCATGGAGAACCAACTGTGGAATTCACCGTTGAAGAGGTGAATGCATTCACCATTGAAGAAGGATTGCACCAAGCTGTAATTCTTAAATTTTCATATGGAAAACCAGATATCCAAGAGTTACGGCAGATCATACCAAAACAATTCGACGTCAAAGGTTATTGCAATGTTGGACAGCTTGAGTATCGACACATCTTGGTAAGATTTGATTTGTTTGATGACTTTGTTCAATTTTTGTCAAGGACTACTGCTNAAAAGATATATAGATATACCTGTACGCAGCAAGGACGAAACTAAAAAACAAAAGTCGAAATGGATGATGAGCCGGTAGTGCCAACCTTCCTTCAGTTATCAACCTTTGTACTCTTTAGTCTTCTACAAAATCAAGATGACTTGTATGAGTGAACGTAGAAAAAAAAGTGACACCAAATAAATATATAGGTAAAATTCACAGTCTCTTGCAAAGATACAAAGTCTACGCTTTTTCTAAAGCTTTGTGCCTCGACCTTTTTTATTCTAAAATTCATTTCTATTGAACACTCTCAATATTGTTTCAACTTCTTACTCTATATATTTATTTGATATTTTCTTGAAATGGAAGTGGTTTGAAGTGTTAGAAGGAAAGTTCTGTTGAACCCGGCCCTACAATGCTACCACCCGTGTATATTCGACATGATATATGAATATATACGTATAAAGTACTAAAATGCAACAAATATAACAACATGAAAGAGATGCGCGCATGGAAAAATGCATGAACATGGGTAGAAAAAGTAGACCATCAAAATGTTACAATCTTATACAATCTATATCTGAAATGTCTACCACTACACCATGGATAACAATAATAAAATTGAAGCTTGCAATTATGGGAGATAATGAAAAACAGAAAGAAGATAATAGGAATTGGCATTTGGCAAAATTTAACAACATTACGTTTTTTAATTCTAATTCCACTTCCAGTTACAAAAAGTTCCAATTTGTCATAAAGCAAGGCAGAGACGAGCACACCGTCTTCACCGATGAAATAACTAAATTAGAACCGGAAAACTAAAAAGATTAAGTATATACTCTCTCGTGAATTCTTATCAGCAGGTAATAAGGGAGGGGACTTGGGAACAGAATTACACAAAACAGTGTAGAATGAAACAAATAGATACAAGCCTAGGGAAAAAGTATTTCATACACAAAACACATATCAAAGGCAACCAATATTCTTAGCAAACCCATATCAGAACCCATGGAATAAAAAGCTTTAAACAAATTAAGATAGAAAAATCCCACATAATTGTAATAGCAACATCCATTGATAAACATAAATTAATTTAGATGAGAGCTTTTAACCGAAGAGACCTCACAAGTCTGCTTTTAAGAGAATTTCTCAATTTCAACTCAATATTGTCCAAACGCCTACAAATGTTATCCAGCAAATTGAGGCTCAAACGCGTATAATGAAAAGGCAAAAGAGAAGACAGCCATGCCATGGCTGCAAAACACCGGTTGCACGAGAGAGAGAAGTACTCAATCACAGCCATACTGGGTTGCCACACCAAGATACGGGTCGGGTCATCTCAATGCTCAAAGATCAGCCCAAAAATAGAAAGATTCATAAGCATCATCACAGCCCTCAATCTACCCCAATACAAACAAAAAATCAAATAGAGCACACAAACAAGGACAAGCCTCAAACTAGCCAACAATTCCAGCCTCAAACCCTAGTCTTGGCCGAAGATTAGACGGGAAAGAGAGAGAGATCGCGTACCTGATGAAGTCCCCAACGCCGATTTTGACCGGCGCGGTTGAGAGAGAGGCGGAGATACAGAGAAAGAGACGACAGAGCAATTGAGAAATTGTGGGAAAAAAGAATTAGAATATAAGGGTTAGCGGAAAATAAGTTAACGTTTCCGACTACTGTAGTCGGAAACTATATATTATTTAATTTTTTTAATTAAAAAATTCTTGGTCAAAAGTGGTCTTGACTTTATTATCTAATGTTTCGACTACGGTAGTCGGAAACTTTTACGCGCGCAATTTCCCGCGAAACTTTTTAATTATATTAGTCAAAAAAATATTCGAAATAATTCTTAAAAATAAATTAAAAAATAATATGAGATTTCCGACTACAGTAGTCGGAAAATTGCGACTGACATTTTGTAGTCGGAATTTGTAGTCGGAAAAAAGGTATTTTCTGGTAGTGAGATAAGAGAGAGACAATGTTAGAGAGACAGAGAAAAGAGAGAGATTGTATTTCCAGTAGTCCAAAAAAATCCTCCCTCTTTACAAGGCTTGGATCCTCTTTATATAATAGAGGATCCTTGCTCGAATATTAAAAGGCAGAAAATAAAGTACATGTTATGTAGTGGCCGATGTGATTGTGAAGTCGTCCCTCTTGTTGCTCATAGGTCGCCCTTCTAGCCGAACTTCCGCACACTCGGTCGGTCGTGCTGGCATGAAGAACGTGGTTGGTCAAATTCGACCCCATACAATACAAGTATCAATTCGATATTTTATGGTGGATATTAAATCTCCAAATAAACCAACCAAATGCCCCTAATAAGTTTAGTTAATTTAATTAACTTTCGGAGTCAATGTTAATAAATTTTAACTTGAAAATTATTTTGGTTAATTTTTAACAACAAAAAAATTAATATTTTTAAGTGCTCAATATTTCTTTTTCTCAATATTGCTTTTTCCAACAAGTCTTACATTCGCTTATTTCTCTGAAAATAATATTTTGTTTCCTTGGTTGCGAACACTTATATGCGAGAATTAATCATTACGAGATTAGAGTTCTACACCTACGAAAGAGCCGAGTGTGTATGATAGAGATAACTAATGCAAGTCCTAGTTTAGGACAAAGATAAGATATATCAAGACAACTTTTCTTACATATTAGAACAAAATCTAGTCTCTCCTATTTCACACTAGTCTATATCGGATTAGGAAAATAAGTACTATATGAGTAAATTTGATACTAAAACAAGGGAATCAAAAAAGAGGTCAAATTACAATCAAACTGAAGGTGACCATGGAATTAAACTGAAACTTATATAATTTAACTAATGAAATGGAGCTAGCGTTCCAGCTTCCGTAGCATAGTGGTAGTGCGTTCGCTTCGTAAGCGAAAGGTCGCGAGTTCGATCCTCGCCGGGAGCTAAATTATGTGCAATACTCGTAAGCTTTGGGACTTTGTTTTTCTAATTGCTTTTTACGTTGCCCTTGACTTTGTTTTAGGGGTTAAGCATTTTAATTTGTGCATCAGGATCTAAGTGCTGAGCTCAGTTTTTAAAGTGAGGGAGGGAAATTAAGGAGATACTTGGTCTCTAATTTTGTGGCCAGAGCTACATATGTTATATGTATATGCTGCATCAATTGAGCATATAGGAACTCTTAACATATATATATTGAACATCTAGTTTGCAAAAACTTGCAAAGCTACCATATATTTGAAAGAATTGGGTGAAATAGTTAGAGGAAATGCACAGTTTCTGTCCTAACTGCCGGCTTACATGAGGCTGGTCATACTGACCATAAAAACAGGTTATGGTGGTTTTCAAATTTCGTTTTTTATTGATGAAACAGCACATGAAATTAAAGAGTTACAGTTAAGGGTGTCAAATTTAGCTCGTCAAAATATGCGCCAGACTTGGGCGGGTTGGACCAATTGGTCGGTTATTTTGAGCATAATTCAAATTAGCACATCTAAAAGCTTGGGCTTATTTGAGCGGCATAAGTAGCATAAACTCACTCATATATAAGAAAACTTATCAAAGAGTTGAAAAAATAAATTTTTGGGGTGTTGGTTTATTTGATGTATCTTGATAAAGAAAGGCTGATTTGTCCGTTTGGATT